AATCCTACTTCCGTAGTGATACTGCCTCGGAAACCCAAGGAGGGGTCGCTATGAGTCGGGGCCGACTCGACGGCAAACAACAATAACAACAACATATATATACATATAGTGATGTGGGTAAAAGTTTACAGAGCAAATTTATTTTCCATACAGCACTTTATACACATTTTGTTTCATGACATTGACTGCAGTTCCCCACAATGTCAAGTTATTGATGGACTCTTGGCTCAGGTGCGTCTCACAGTGGGTACAGTGGGTCCCCCAACCCATCCTATAGTGATTTCCCTAGTTCCAGAATGCATAATTGGAATAGATACACTGAGCAATTGGCAGAATTCGCACACTGGGTCCTTCATTTGTGGAGTAAGGGCTATTATGGTAGGAAAAGCCAAGTGGAAGCCATTAGAACTGCCTCTATCTACAAAAATAGTAAACCAAAAGCAGTACCGCATCCCTGGAGGATTGTAGAGATTATTGCCACCATCAAGGACTTGAAGGATGCAAGGGTGGTGATTCCCACCATATCCCCATTTACTTTGCCTGTTTGGCCTATGCAAAAAACACATGGATCTTGGTGAATGACAGTAGATTATCGTAAACTTAATCAGGTGGTAACTTCAGTTGCAGCTGCTGTTCCTGATGTGGTTTCATTGCTTGAGCAAATTAGTATATCTCCTGGTACTTGGTACGCAGCTCTTGATCTGGCCAATGCCTTTTTCTCAATACCAATTTCAAAGGACCATCAGAAGCAGTTTGCCTTCAGCTAGCAAGGCCAAAAATGTACTTTCACAATGCTTCCTCAAAGGTATATCAACTCCCTAGCACTGTGCCATAATTTAGTCTGTAGGGATCTTGATCGCCTTTCCCTTCCACAAGACATCACAATGGTTCGTTATATTGATGATATTATGCTGATTGGACCTGGTAAGGAAGAAGTATCGATGATTCTAGACTTATTGGTGAGACATCTGCATGCTAGAGGGTGGGAAATTAACCTGACAAAAATTCAGGCACCTTCCACCTCAGTGAAATTTCTAACAGCTTTCTTCCCACTTCCTCCCTGTAGTTACCTCTTCCCTGTGTCCTTCCTTTCCATGCACTCCCACCCCCTGAGCTATCTCCCTGTGCAAACACTGCCCTTCTGTTCTCCCACGATTGATTGTTCCATGGAGAGTATCAACCTGATATAAATATTCATCCCATATGCCTATCTGTTGTTTGGCTGGAGGCCACAGGAGTGAGTTCAGTTCCAGACCTGAAGGGTAACTAGGGCCTGTAGTCTCAGGGGGGTCTCACCAGACTCTATCAGACCAGCAAACCTGGCCTTTTTTTTTTTTTTTTTTTAAATGATTTTGAGTTTTGTTCACATTGTACTCCCACTCTATCCAGGATCTCCTACATAGATCCCCCTTCAAGTGGTTGACAGTGGTAGCTGGGCACCATCTAGTTCTTCTGGTCTTATGGTCATATAGACTGAGGACCTCATGGCCTACCAGCCCCTTGGACTAATTATTTCCATGAATCTTTGGTTTTTTTAATTCTTCTTTGCTCTGGACAAGGAGAGACCCATTGTTGCATCTAGATGGCTGCTTGCAAGCTTTTAAGACCCCAGTCACTACTCACCAAAGTTTTCTTCAGTTTTTCAAGTTAATATTTTTCTATAGTTATCTCTGCAAGCCCATTATAGATAATCACCTAAATTCCTTAGCATTGTTTTCTACTTATTATTAACTGTTATTGTTTATTTTCAGTCTCTCTTTTTATTCGTCTGCATTCTTAGAGGAAGGGTTGCTTTTCATTGTTTTGTTATCTGCTTTATGTCCTTTAATGCTACTTCAAATAAAAGATACTTTAGTGTCCTTGCTACCTTTCCAAATCTATTAATGTTCTAAGTTAATTATGCTTCCAAGAATCATTTATTTTATATTCTATAGCTGTCCTGCTTTTTATTATGAAAGCTCATTAGCATGGCCTTGTATTATTAATAATATTGAACACCCACTGTATATAAATCACTTTTTCTACGTAAGTGCAAAAATGATCCCTCCTGCATTTGAAGAACTTATAATAGAATGTCATTTCATGGGTAACATTCTGTGGAAAATCCTTATTCTCCTGGGTAGTCTTTAAATTATTTATTTGCCTCTTAATGTGGTTGGATAAGGAGCTCTGGTGGCGCAATGCCTAAGGTGTTTGACTGCTAACCAGAAGGTTGGCGGTTCAAATCCATTAGCTTCTCCACAGAAGGAAGATAGGGCACTCTACTTCCATAAGGATTTACCAACTTGGAAACTGCTAAAACAGCAAGGAGGCCACATGTTCTGACCTCCTCTAATCTCACAAGAGGAAGACAGGGTTACCAGCAGTAACCCAAGGCCTATTACT